ATGTTTAACCATTTCAAGAAGTAGCATATGATCAAGAGCCAGTGATACTGAAGGAAGAAGTCCAAAGTGCATTGAAGGAATTGGCAAAGAACAAGGCACAAGGAATTGATGGAATAAAAATTGAAATCTTTCAAGAAAGTGAGGCGGCACAGGAGGCACTCAGTCACCTCTGCCAAGAAATTTGGAAGACAACTGGTTGGAAGAGATCCATATTTGTGCCCATTCCAAAGAGAGGTGATCCAACGGAATGTGAAAATCATTGGACGATATCTTTGCTCTCCCATCTGAGTAAAGTTTTACTAAAAGTAATACAGACCAGCCTGGAACAGCTATAAGAATAGAAGATACTTCTTGAAGGAGGGACCTACAGGAAAAATACAAAACAATAGAGGCAGACGGACTGTTACTACAAGAACAAACAAGTTGCTTGCCCAGGAAACATCAAGGCAAGTGGTCGGGTCCCCTCAGTGCAAACCCCCTTCCAAGACTAAGACTCAATGGAAATACACGCTCTGATTGGTGACAATGCTTGTCACGTTGTCACCAATAAGGGGAAATGAGGGAAACACAACAATGAAGTGGTGAGCTAAGTCCTACAATGTGGAGAGTGAAGCGTTCAGCTTATAAAAGGAGAGGGCATATGCACGGGAACACCAACACTTGCAGATAATACCCACTTGACCTGGCTTCAATGACCGGGATGATCAGAGCTCAACCAGAAGAAGAAAGAAGAGGAGAAAAAGAGTAATCTGATGCAATTTGATGAGCTTGACCTACACCTATGGAAGCAGTAGCTCAAATGAGGGAACAAATCCTTACAGCGAGAATCATTCCCACTCCCTCCACACACAGAGCAGACAGGGATGGGCAACTTGGACATTGGCTACCCAAAATGGGGAGGAGGGGGCTACAAAGGCAAGAAGTGACTGGCTTACAAGCTTTCAAGCGGAACCTAGAGCCAGGGTCCCTGGAGGAAGGCAGAATCTCCAGTGAGTAGTATCCAATCTGCCTAGGCGGAGCTGATGAAATGAAATACAGATGTGTCTCTTGTGATGCAATAGTGAATAATTGCTATCAGGACTGATTGTGAGGGTTGGAAATGTAAAGGGAGACATTTTATAGCAAGGAAGGGAGGGAATAACTTTTCAGTCTAGGAGCAGAGCTCCCTAGGACCATCAACAGAGAAGAGCCGAGAGCGGGAACCTACCCAGAGAAGCAGTGATGCCCGAGATGGAGGCAGAGATGATGACATGGAGCAATGGAGCAGCTGGGGACTTTAGATCCAGAGAGGAGAGCGACTGTGTGCTGAAGACTGGGTGGGGGGAGGGAGGACGGGGGGTGTGGCAGGGGGATAGTGTAAGGGGCAGGCTTGCAGGGTATACCCTTTGGTCAATTGATGATGCATGGAGGGGATTGTAACCATGGCAATGATACGATGTACGATAGAATGAATGTAAAACTAATATTCTCCCATTATCTATTATATAATTCACAATAAAACGCTTTAAAAACAAAACAAAAGTAATACAGAAACAAGCATACATTGACAGAGAACTTCCAGAGGTTCAAGCCTTATTCAGAAGAGGCCGTGGAATGAGGGATATCATTGCTGATGTCCGATGGATCTTGGCTGAAAGCAGAGAATATCAGAAAGATGTTTACCTGTGCTTTATT